AGGGGACGGCCGTTCGCACGCTTTTTTTTCTCGGATGCTTTTGTCTTCTCTCTCACGTAGTCTCTGTCGGAGGAGCATGTACGTGAAGATATGAGTGCTCATGTGCGATCCAAGACTTTTTGTCTATTTCGCTTTTGATGTCATGACGTCATGATGTTTTTCCGGCAGTAGTGACGGGTCACGAGTCGTCCACGTTTTGCTGCGCTGTTGTTCTCGTGCGTCATGGAACGAATCCACCGCTGTTGATATTGCTGCCGTGTCGCCTTACACATCGGCGGTCTCTCGACCCCACACCCATCTTTCGTGTTGATTTTTGGGGGGCCTGATTCCAGCACGAACGAAGCAGCCTGTTTCACTCTGTTGGGACCATGTCAAGGCGGCCACCGATCCTTCCGCGAAGAAATCTTAAGGGGTGGTCGAGGACCGTGGCACTGACTAAAAAAAACCTACGCGTCGCAAGCATGCCAGGTTTTTTATTCATGTCCAGGTCCTCCTGATGTGCTTTTCCGCCATGTACTCACCAAGTTTGTTTTGTTTTTTCGATGCCCCCTCGTTTTTGGTGAAATGCACTCGCGGCTGCAGTCGATCCGAGCATTCGCGCGGTCTTGCATGAACTACTCGCTCGGCAAGGGGTGGGATTTGTTCCTCTCCACGAAGAACACTATCCTGAAGGTACGTACAATAGTTATCTGCTGCATCCTCACGACGGTCTTGGATGGAACCTAACCGTGTTATTTGTAGCACGGTCATACCTTCTTGAAGCAAGCTCTGTGCTCGTCATAGCGTGAAGAGTATCACGAACACGTTCCGTAATGAGAAGAGAGGCTTTCTTTCGTCATGGCTGCTTGATTGACTCTATTGGAGGTGAGGTGATGAATCCGGCACCTCGGCGTACGTGGGACTGTTTACATTCTAGATACTATGAAGCCCACCTCATGAGTGATTTCGTGACGGGACACTCGTGTTCTAGTATATACATGGCCCGCACAAGAATTGACAGGATTTTTGTCGGTGTTGGTGTATCTTTCGTGACTTGTCTCCAGGTGTACGACGGTCGGTTCAAGGACATCTTCCAAGAGATTTACGAAGATGAGTACCAGGAGCAGTTCGAGGCACGAGGCATCACCTACACGCACCGCCTCATCGACGACATGGTGGCACAGTCGCTCAAGTCGGCCGGTGAGCAACGTGCCCGAAGCAATAGACGCGCTCCGCCTCGTTCCCATGTCTTTGCATGCTCCCACCCACCTTTGGAAATGTATACCCTCCCCAACACAAATGTGATGTATCACGATTATTTGGTTAGGTTAAGCGTCCTCTGATACTTGTTGGGCGCGCTTTGATTCGGAGTACCATGTTCTTCACGACTTGGCGGCAATGGCCAAGACTGTTGACTTGACTGAGATGTTCTTTGCTGCAAGCAGTCAGCACGTTCGTACTTTCTGTTTTGTTGGCTTCCGTAATGCCTTGGCTTTCACCACAACCCCCTAGTTGCGCGCCCCGCTTCGCGTGTCTACTCGGTGCCTCGAGTGTCTCGAGCGTCTTCATCCTTGGTTATCGAGCAGCTGCTGCTGCGGTGTGGTCGCATTGTCCAATGCAGCCTAACCTGTTTTGTCCTGAAACGGCTCAGGTGGGTTCGTGTGGGCGTGCAAGAACTACGACGGTGACGTGCAGTCGGACATCGTGGCACAGGGGTACGGGTCTTTGGGCCTCATGACCAGCGTGCTGCTCGCACCGGATGGCAGAACTGTTGAGGTGAATGACTCGTATGACTACTTGACCCGCTGGCTCGTGGTAGTTGCCGTGGGTTGGCCCCAACTTCTTTGTAGGCTGGTTCTGCCACTGCTGTTGCACCCCGTGGTTTGTTGGTTCTCTCTTGTCTCGCTTGCTCGATGTTTAGGGTTAGGCCAACGGCTAGTAGTGTCCTCACAGAGCTTTCAATACAGTTATTCCTACCGTGTTTCCACAGAGACACTGTCGAGAAATATCGCCTGGAAATCATTGACTAACCAACGAGATAGGTGGACGATGGCCAGATGAAGATGATACAGTGAACTCGTTTCCCTTCGTCTCTCTCTTCCTTGCAGCACGTGCTCTCGCTGCAAAGAAGCCCAAGTAGTCTTGACCTGTTGGAAGCAAAACCCTGAACAGCCACCCACGCCTTGACCACCGCGTGCCATATTCATCCCGTACCGCCAGTCGGAGGCCGCGCACGGGACTGTCACACGGCACTGGCGCGAGTACCAGAAGGGAAACAAGACCTCGACCAACCCGATCGCCTCGATCTTCGCGTGGACACGTGGTCTGCAGCACCGCGCCAAGCTTGACGACAACAAGCCACTCAGGGTGAGAGAGGCAGATCGATCGATCGCAGTCTAGCGCTGGCAAAATTTTTCGTTGTTTTCTATCCCTTCAGGTGTGGGAACCACACAGAGAGTCAAGACTCACGAAACAACGCCATGCTTTCACAATAAGCGAGCTCGCTTGTCCATTTCAGAGATTATCGTGGATGTGTTGCATTGCTGTACCTGTTTATTTTTGAATGAATTCTCCGAACCCCCCCCACGTAACTTTGCCCGCCACTAAACTATTTTCACACTTTTCCACCAGGTGTTCACCAACAACTTGGAGAAGGCCGTGATCGAGACGGTAGAGGCGGGGCACATGACGAAGGATCTGGCGATCTGCGTGCACGGGTGGAACGTCACGGAGGACCAGTACCTCATGACGGAGGCGTTTATGGATGAGATCAAGGTGTGTATTGGAAACGCTCGCACACGCCGCCGTTCAGTGCATCTTTCGTGTGTGCTAGCTTGTTATGGAGAGTATCAAACAGTCTGGGGTCGCCAGAAGGAAGGTCGGAGCTATTTTTGCGCGCGAAGTGCTGTTTAATTGAAGCGTCGTGCTATTGCCGTACAGGCTGTTGTCGTGCGTGTCATGTATTGCTTCCGCACCATATTCCGTTCTGACCTTTACCGCGTACCCTCATCGTTTTCATCACAGTTGACTAGTCTTGTCGCAGGCTAAAAAAAGAAAACCCTCCGTGGTCAGAGTCATCGACCAAACGCGAAATGCACGAATAATGTAAGTAGAATTTAATATTGAAACCTGGACATTGAATCCAGGTGGCAGGAGTTGACAGAGTTTATTTGTTCATGAGCATAGATCGTTCACAAACGCGTCGAATGCATTCTTCAAAGGCCTCAACAAATTCACACGTGGCTGCCCCCCCTCTCCGGTTCCCCCCCCCCACCCCTTCTGTCGTTTGCATGTGAGAGTGCTAACCTAACCCGACGGCTCCCGCTCTCCCATGTCGTGCTCGTTGTTTTCCGCCCCTTTGTCGCGGCAACGAAAAAAACACAACGCCTGATGCCGCGCAGAACACGTACGATGCCAAGTACGCGCCGGAATGAGAGGGGAAGGCAGACGGAGGCATACACTCAACGAGAACTTGAGGATTCTGTTGACACATACTCGTTGAGGAAAGGAGAGGCAGAAGAATTAGTCTTTGGCTCACCTTGGTTTTGTTTGCCGGGCGCCTGGGCTAGACTTTGTTGCTTTGGGGCTTGTAGCATACTAGCATACGCAAGTTTTGTGCCGGAGACGCGCGCGCTCGCGGCAACTAGGCCATGCTGTACGCAGGCAACAGCGGGGTGAGGGCGTCCCTTCATTTGATGCCGCCCCCGCGCGTGAGAATAAAAAATGACGGCTATCGAAAAAAGAGGCATCCCCCCCCCCTGACAGACACAGTAGCAGTGGTGGTTTGTTGAGACCGTTGTTGTTCCTGCTAGCGCAGTTGTATACTCGCGAGTGAAATAGGGTTTTACGCTGCGTATCGCCCAAACGTGCGCGTGCGAACGGGTGGGTGTATTTGTTTACTGCGCTAAAATTTTGTCACGGATTTCAACACGCGATACTCTGGTGGGTGTATAGGATAGGAGACACTCTTGCGGCTCCAAGGCTGAGGTGAGGGGGGTGGGGGTGTTTACAGTGATGCCCTTCACGACTTCCTCCGGCAAATAGGTTGTTCTTGTACTTACGTGTGGAACAGCTACGCCGGCGCGGGGAGAGGGGGTGTAACTGCCTGACAATTTTGGGAGAGAAAACAAGACACAGAAAATATTAGGTTTTCACTGTTTGATTGTACGCACGCGTCTACAACCGCCCGAAAATCGTGTGGGACGGGATGTTTCGGGACGGATATGGTTCAATGGGCGGGGTTTTCGTTGATGGCTGTGCCATCATTTCGTCCCTTGTTTGCCGGGTCTCCAATGACCAGACTTTGACTTGACAATTCACGCCTTCCCCTGTCCAAGCAGGGCACAAACAGCCTTCTTTCCTCCCTGTGGTGCAATCGAGGCTGGTGCGATGCATCACCAAAACTACTGGGCAAGGTACAAACGTGTGAGAAATGACCGATAGGATGAGCTTTGTAATCGCTGCATTTCACCCCCATGACCCTGGATCTTATGCTATTTAGCACGATGCACGTGTTTGCAACAGTCTGTGCTCGTACCGGGCTCGACAGGCGTTATAAAAAAAGAAACCTGCCCGAGAGTTTCTTCGTGACCTATTTTCCCGGACCATCATAACTATGGAACCAGGTGAGGAAAAGCCTCTGTATTCGTCGTCCCAGTAGGGAAGATCTTCACCTCCAAGGTAACGGCCGAATGAATGTCCGTCGAGTGGTCATGCATGTGTTGTGTTGAGTGACAGTTTTTGCACGAAACTGCTGTCGTCGCGAACGAGCGATGACGTTAAACCGAATCACACCATCTTGAGCGGTAATCGGCCGCTGCTGCACTACCTCACCACGGTCGTCCCTTTATGTACTTTTCTTTTTTTTTCCTTTTTTTTTTTGCTTCACAGCAAATCAGCGCTCACGGCACTAGTGCCGTTTTACTCCTCCAACCCGTGGTCACACAGGAGAGCCCCTTTATACCCTCCCCTCCTGCGGTACTTTGCCTTCGATTTTTAATGCGAGAAGAGTCGAGCACTCTCTTCCCTCCGTGTACACACAACCTAGCGCTATCCACCAGGCCAGGCGCGGAGCCGAGAGAAAAACTCATTTTGCAAGAAAAGCTCGCTTACGCCGGGATTCGAACCCCTGACCTGACCACTAGAAGGTTTCGAGGTAACTAGACCACCGGGGCGACTGGCTGTACTGCAATGCCCGATAAGGTCGACCGACCTGGTGATGCTGCTGTACCGCCTCACGCACAAGTCGCCCACCAGTTCCCGACCTTTGTATGATTTTTAATGATCCTGGGACAGTTCTGAAGAACCTTCCATCCTAAGAAATATCTACTTTCCTGCGGGCGCCTCCAACGCGCGGTTGCCACCCACGTCCACATAGCGGTGGCACAAATTTGCCATGTTCACGCCACGATCAGCCACAACCTACAGACGCATCCACATTTTTAACAGAGACAGAACCATGGGGGTGCGCGCTCCCCTCCTCGATCCTTTTCATCCCCTCAACAATACCGAAACGTCATCTCTCCGAAGCAGTTCTGCGAGAACACGCCGTTGCGACCACACTATTTTGCACAAAGCAGTACACCCTCAAAAAGTCGAATATTTTTCTTTCTTCATCTTCCACCAGGCACACGACGCCAGTGCATACCCCCCCGGCTACAACTTGTTGGTCGGCAGCCAAAGTCGACAACGAGAAAAGGGCCAACAAAACGACTAAATATGCATGACGGTGTGGTATTTTCTTGATTTGGCGGAAAAACTCTTGACGATACATGGGTATTTGGCGCCCCCTTCACTCTTCCGACAACGGACTATGCATGCACTGAACAACGCTGTAGGGAGGCGTAAAGCCGGGGGGTGCCCCACACGCTTCAAACGGAGCCCCGTCCGTGAGGAACCGCAGACAGAGTAACTTCCCCTCCAGCAACGCGAAATTTCTTGGAATTTTTCCCATCACGCCTCCGCCGTGGCTGGGGCTTTCGCCGCGGGCGAGCGAGACGCCGACCTCCTGTTGCTGCCGCCGCCGCTCTGTTAATACACGCAATGCAAGCGCGCGAGGTCAGGATCACAATCAAGACTAGAGATGATACGCACGATCCAAAAGGGGTGAGAGGTGTATGGAAGCACAGGACGTGACCGGTCAAATCGAAATTGATCGATCGATTCAACCCCGCTTCTAGCACTCTAGCATAGCATTTTCTCTGCCGACACTACTGACAAGTGTTTTTCCCACCGCAGCCACCACTGCCGTAACTCGTGGCTCAATACCCGGGGCTACGTGGCTCAATACGGTTGGACGAACACGCCACAAGGGTGCACTCCATCACTCACTGCTGTATGACAGGGAGTAATCAGCAACGCCGTTGCTCGTTTAACGCGGCGTTACAGTGCAAGACCAGAATCCCTTGCTCTTCGAGAACTCTTCGCCGTGTTTTCTACACAAGGTGGTGAACAAACAACACCGTGGAGGGGACCACCACTCAGCACACGTTGGTAGACATTGCTGCCTCCCACCGCTTTTTTTACCAAACCCGGCAAACAAATTACACACGAAACTGGCTTGTACGTACCTCGTTCACAGGTGCATAGCTTCAACACACCAGGAACCCTCGCCTGCTGTAAAGGCAAACCCTTAAAATTGGACGCCGAGTCCAATTCCCTCGTTTCCCACGACCCAACGAACAGCAAACAAATAAGAGATAGGACAAACACGCCGCTTTTCATACCTTGCTCGACGAGGAGCTCGACTTCGACGCGGAGCTCCGGCTGCGGCTCCGACCGCTGCCGCTACCGCTACCGCTGCCGCTGCCGCTGCCGCTGCCGCTGCCGCTGCCGCTGCCGCTGCCGGAGCTGGAGGATGAGGACGACCGCCCCCCACGGCGCCTGTTCCTGCTGCGGCTGCGGGACCGGCTCCTGCTGCGCGACCTGAGGCAGCAAGCATTATACAAGCGATGGGAGCGTCAACTGTCGGGGGAAAGGGTGTATCGTGGTCGCTTCCAGTTGGTCGTTTCCTTCTTGCTGCGGTGGGGGGGACCTGTTTAGAGCACTGCCGGTATGTGCCAAGAAAATTCACAGGCATCATACCGGACCGGCGCGATTCAAGGTGCTGAAAATGTAGTGTGTGATCGCCGAAACCACCAGCACTACACCGGGCACCGGCAGTGCAAGACCGGCACTAAACAGGGACCTACCATATTGCTGTTGTTGTCGTCTTCAGATGAAAAACCGCTCCGATCTCTCTACCCAGTACCTCCATCATCGGTCCGTACTGATCAAACAAACGCTTGACGCGGTCGATTCGTTGTCGATTCGCGGTCGATTCCCGTGGTCTCACGCCAGCTTTCCCTACAAAGGAATGCTCCAATTAAAATGAACCCGAACCTATGCACGTGGTTCCTCCCCGACGCTTCCTTCTCTGTCCTTCCCGTATATAATGCTTTGCTTCGTATCGGCCGTTTCCCAAGAACGACGCCGCATACACCGCAACAAACATCCCGCGTGACACGGTGGTGCTTTACATTCCCTTACCTGCGCCTGTTTCCGAACGACCTCCTCCTGGGCGAGGCAGACCGGCGACGGCGTACAGGGCTGCGGCTCCTGCAAAAACGAAATCGTACCGTAATAAACAGCCGGGGGGGAGAGGGGCGATCGGTACAACATGGTATTGTTCACGGCTGAATACCACACAGCAACTATCGTTGTTGCACAACCATGGTTTTGTCGCTTTTGTGAGTTTCGGCGTAGATTGCTAATCAACACAAGCACACGCGAAGCCCCGCCGCTTCATGCTCTAAGCCACGAGATCCTTGCGGTCGCTACCCCCCATCAGTGCTTCTACGCCTTCAACCAACGACTCCTATATTCCAAAGACATTTTTCGTTTTGGGGTGTGTGCGCATCGACACCCTCACCATCTCTTTTGTCCCCCATCTTTTTGTACTCCATGGACGCCCCCCCTGCAAATTGCTTGCACAACCCATCGAAAACTAAATCGTTGGCACGTCATGTCGGCCCAACTCCATTGGTTCGACCTCCACCTTCCCATGCCCCTTACACCCGATAGCCTTTGCGAGGACATCATTACGCTTGGTTACGGGTGCGGTTTGGGATTAGGGCTAGCGGTACGAAACCCCCCTCTCCATTTCACATCGGAATGGTAACGCCCAAAATCCCCACGAAGGCGGTCCAACACGCCTCATGGTGGAAACCTCGCCCATACCTCCTGTCGGAGCGGCGGTTGCGGGGGGGGGAGGACCTCCTGCGGGGGGGGCTCCGTGCCCTGTCGGCGTACGAGGTAGACCCGCCGAATCCCCCACCCCCCCTCCGGTCACCACGGGGCGGCGACCTGCAAAAAAACGAAACAAAGGGTACATACACCCATCGTGAGGCAAGAAATATGTTTTTTTTTTGTAACACCCAAAATAGCGGGGGTTCACATCCAATGCAGCTGGGAAAACGTGAGCGCTCTACTACTGTGCGATCGCGCTCGTGGTAAGTACGTCATTTGTATCGAGGAGAAAAGAGTACCTGGCCCGAGAACGAAACGCCTCTCCGCCGCGGCGAAAGCCTCAGGCATACAAGTACGCACCGGTCCCTCCCGCGGAAGCCAGCGCCCGCGGCCATGGCGCCGTAGCCTCCAACGCCGCCGGAGCTGCCGCCGCCGCCGCCCCCGGCGGGCCCATAGTGTCCGCTGCCGCCTCCACCGCCTCCCTGGCCGCTAAAGCTCCCGCTACCATTGCCGAAGCTTCCGCGCGCCTGTCCGGCAAAGCGGCCGCGGCCGGCGCGCTCCCGCTCCCGCTCCCGCTCACGTCCTAGAGATAACGGGAGTAGGGGCGGGGGTTGTCGATGGCGTAAGTTTAGCGATGGAACGGATAGGGGGGAAGTCTAGGTTCGACAGCGCAATCCCTTTCCTCGAGCTTTCCAGAACGAATTCCGGAGAGGGGTCTCGCCCCGCGGCGATTTAGGCTCCGAGCATACTTAAAGGTGTTCTCTTCTATTTTGACTACACTGCGCACCGTCCGTGACAGGTATTCTCACGCAGATAAACCCAAAAGCAGACAAACGACAACTCAAGAAAGGTTGTAAGATTTTTCACATTGAAGACGAAAACATAAACAGCACCTACGTTCCGCTTTGAAGACTAAGACAGAACAAACATAAACCAAGACTAAGAGAGCACAAATATAAACCAAGTGTAAGACAGCACAAACAGAAACCAAGGCTAAGACGTCGGAAGACACTCCACGTGTCAAGACAACACCACAAAACAGCACCTATGTAGCATAAACAGCACTTACGTTCAGCTTCCCTCGACCTGGGCGAGGGCGACTGTCTGCGCTTCTTGGTCACCAGCACGAAGGCCACCTTGATCCTGTTGCCGTCCAGCTGAATGGGGAATGGCCAAAACCCATAACAACGCCCATGAGGACACGCAGACAACAGAGGGAGGAAGTTTCGTGTTGACGAACCACAATGCCGAGTGCACCAACACTCGTTGTGAGAAATACTTCGAAATTGTCGAGGTCGGGTGCTGGCATGGGGTGTGGCTTTGTTGATGGCTTGCGCGTTTGGGACAGCAGCAGCAAGGCGTTTGTGTTTTGTGCGCCAAGCGAGAAGCGTGATCCGCTGAGCTGAAAGCATCCTTGACGGTACGCCACGGGTAGTCTACAAAGCACGAGATCAACCCTCAGTGCCAGCCTATTAGCGCGGCAGATCGAACGACGGCGCACCGCGATGCCGAACGGTCCTGCGCGCGCACGCTGCTGGTACCGTTATGACGTGGTACCACAGCTGCTTCCGCGCGTTGCATTTATGTCGCTTCGAATACACCAACTCCAGCAGGCCACAGACGATGCTTTACGTCCCGTCCAAGATGATGATTTTCTTATCCATCGTAGCGCCAAGCCGGTTTCGAGAGTTGAGCCGACAGCTACCGTAGGTGACATGATGTAAGGTACATCACACCCCCTTGGATGAAATGTTCAAAGCTCGATTTCTCCACAGCAGACAGAAGGAGTAGCGGTGCTAAAAACGGCGGCGTTGGAGCCGTCTGGTCGAGAGCTCTCAGAACACCCATCGTTTCAATCATGCATCCTCTCTTCGTCGTGGAGTAATCGAGCTCTGAACAGCGGTCCAGGGGGCGTGGAATCTTGTGTCATGTCACCCACAAGGTACAGGATGCAGATCAGTCCATCCACGCAGAACAACGCCGACGCCAGGACCCTCTCACCTGCCCTCCGTCCAGATACAGCTGCGCCTGCTCCGCCTCCGCCCTCTCCACGAACTCCACGAAGGCATAGCCCTGTCCAGTCGAACCGTCACCGTCACCAAGGCGGTGGGGGGGAGGGGGGGGGGGGTTAAAGCCGATTCAAGATCCATCGGGTCGGGGAAAAAACCCTGGGTTCGCACATGGCCTGCAATGTTAGTCTTACAGACACCTTGGGACGGTCGCATGCTGCATCTGGTGGCAGATGANAGATCCATCGGGTCGAGGAAAAAACCCTGGGTTCGCACATGGCCTGCAATGTTAGTCTTACAGACACCTTGGGACGGTCGCATGCTGCATCTGGTGGCAGATGAGGCATTCGAGTGGCGACACAAAAGACTACCACGGGACTACTGTTCAGATGAACATGCCGTGTCTATACCTTGGGCAGATTGACCCGCTTGTCGACGGCCAGGTCGACCGAGGTTACCTTGCCGTACGACCCGAAGATCTCCTGTGTTTTTCCGGGCAACAACGGCAGCGGCGACGATAAAAAATAGCGCAGCGGACGGCGCGATTAACGGCACAAGCGGGTGGTTCACGGGTCGTTCGGCTGCGGCGTCATGGACCGGTGTCACCCTCGCACACACATCTCACGAGACGTACATGACTAGACGGTGTCCACGAAGGGATAAATGACACCATTCACGGACCGTTTTGTGAGCATGTGAACCACAGTCGAACAAACTAGAAGCGTGATGTCCACAAGGGGAAGTCAGGGTCAGATGGATGTAGCGGTATGCAGGGACAGGCGTCAATCAACTACCGAGACACAACAAGACATGACCCCAGCAACTGAGTGCACTTGAGTACCCGTGCATGTTACTAACGCGGCTTACAAGCGATCACGAGCTGCTCCGCACATTTCATTGAACGTGCGCCCGAAGATGTAAGCGGGTTCGACATCAAGCAACCCAGGCTATGTTGAGGGTGTGGATTGCGGTGTGATTCGTCACACACACACACACACACTAGTGACACACGGCGGCCTCGTCACGACCCTCACGGGCGGGCAGGCTAAGAACACGTAGATGGCACAATCTATCTCACAGCCTACATCTGGCAGACAGTGCCCTCGACTCTTCGACGGCGGTGGTATCTCCTTCTCTCACGGAATCACCAATCTTTTGCTTGGACAACCGGCGTACAACCTGGATTTCCTGCTACTACTACACAGTACAGTAGTACTACTGCGGCGGCTGCGGATACTGGATTCCTGGACGTGTTCACCTGAAGGAAAAAGCCAAGAGAACCTGCGAGCAGGACTTGGCTCCCTCGTGACTTCCTAGTGGCTCGCTAGGTTCGGACGAGGGTATGTGTGGAGCTATGGCAGTCTATGTCTTGATGTTTTGTTTGATTCATCTAGCTGCTGACACGATGACTGTTGGATCTTGGGAGTGTACGATCATCAAATTGGGAGATGCAGCATACCACGATATCCTGGCTTCGGCTGGGCTTGAAATAACCCTTTTGCTGTACTCCGCTCTTTGCATCAGCGGCTTCCTAGATTCGGGCGAATGCATTTGTGTAGCTGAGATGTGTGTCTACGTGAAAGAACATGTGGAGAGAGTCGTGTTGGTATTCGCATCAAGCGCATTGCGCATTTTTCGAATTTTGGCCCCCTTCCAGGGACCTTGATTTTTACCCGCTGGCACTGACGTCTTTTAATTGGTCAGCCGGTTAGCGCGGTCGATGCTAATAATAATAAAAACACACACAACACACACACACACACCACGTGTCTCCACCAAACACCCTGGTCAAGACGTAAAGCAAGTGTCAGACATAAAAAAAATCAGTCCTCTACGACAAACCGATGCAGAACAACAGGGTCACCTTGAGGTGGTCCGCCTTAACGTTACGGGTGAGGTTGGACACATGGAGCATGCTGGGAGGCGAAGGGCTGCGGCGCTTGGGCGACTGCTGACGCAAAACCACGGGAGAAAAACGGCGTCCCGGAAAGGACGAACGAACGAACGTACGGCACAAGAAACGAACACAGCGGCCAATGCAACCAGTCAGCGCCCAGAAGAGACTTCCACATCGCTCGTGCGGGACGAATGTACGGCACAAGAAACAAAGCAGCGGCCAAGACGACCAGTCAGAGCCGAGAAAAGACTTCCACAAGTTTGATGCAGCACGTACTTGACGACCCCGTATGCACAGAAGAGATTGCGCGTCAGAATGTATTCAAGATGGCCAGAGAAGACGATACACGTCCAGTCCAATCCACGGATTCACGGCGTGGTTGGCAAGAGCGAGCGACCCGGAACTCATTGTCACAGACGAAACACTTTCAGTTCATTATGTGCCCTTTTGGCCGGTGACCCCCCTGGGGATAGACCAGCGACAGAGATCTTCCACACGGCGAGGACTTTGTGCAGCTCTTGATGCTCGTACCGCCACTGTACCCCTGCCGCATGAAACGAAACTACGGCTTTCATGCGGCAGGGGTGCAGTAGCGGTACGCGCATCACGAGCTTAACAAGCTCCTCACGGTGTGGGAGACCTCTACCGCTGGTCTACCCCTAGAGCCACCGCCGCGATTGCTCTCGTCAATGGTTGCCTCTACAGATAGCACCCCGACAAGAGAAGTGGGCGTTCTAGAACCTTATACAATCGACATAGTATCGAACTGAAGAACCTGAGTGCCGTTTTCATGAGCACAGAAAATCACCCCGTACATGTACAGTAATCTACACATATATCGCCGATGTGTACCCCACAACAGGAACTAAGAAGAACCCCATGCCTCACCCAAAATTAGATATTCTTGAGTGAGGACGCTATCTGTCTTTCCAGTCGGCGGCGGAAGCACCAAATCCCAAATGAGTCGGGCGTATGGGGTATCCACGCCACCCCAACAGCAGTAGAACATAATACTGCATACGCACCGATCTTCACAAAAGAGGATGCATTACCATACCTACCTTTGATTTAGAGCGGGACACCGAGCGAGACCCAGAGCGTCCGCGAGGCTTAGCCGCGACATCACCCTGCTCCGAAGTTGCGACAGGGTCGCAATGCCACGGGAGACAGACGCGGTAGGGTTGAGTTCGGGAGTGCTTCGTTAGAGATGGCAAGAGACGGACCGATACTCAAAACAGGTGCGTTCAACCAGATATGTCCACGATGGGCACCTGGTACAATACACCAACACTCAACAATACTGCTGTGCGTGGACCATGTTGAAGAAGGGTTACATACGGCTTGCGTGGGGCTTCGCGCCGACCGAGGGCGTCCACAGTTGGGGTTGGGGGGGAGGGGGCGGAGGGGGGGGGACGGGGCGGGGGCACCGGCAGGGGGTTGTTGTTGTT